GGGCGGCAGTGTGCAAGGACAAGGCAGAGGGGAGGAAGCAAAATAGGAAGGTTGGCTGTGTTTTTCTGCTGAGCCTCGGGGAGCAGAGGTAACGGCTGCAGAAATGTCGGGGCGCAGCTGGATTCGGGGCGTCTGGGCGCTCCTTGGCCCACACTGCGCCTGCAGAGGAGATCTCGTGGCGGGTTGTCGGTGTGCGTCCCCAGCACGGGGAGGCAACGTGTCTCGGTCGAACCGGGTGGCCCTCCACAGCCGAGACTGCCGTTAGGGTTACACGGGGCAGAAGGCCTTTCTCCCCAGAGCCCCCTTCCCTGCATTGCAGCCCCAGGCTTAATCCGGTGCAGAAATCTTGGTGTGGGCAGTGCTCCGGCAGGCCGTAGAGATCCGGCTTGTTTTCCCGTTCGGGGATTTGCTGCTTTCTGCTCAGTGGTCTGGAGCGTAGCGCCGTAGCTTCCCGGGGGGAATTGCAGTCCCTGCTTACATGGGGGTGAGAGCGAGCTGCAGAGAACGTGGGGAGACCAAGCTTTGCCACCTTTCCTGCCTTCCGTGGGCGCGGGGGAGGCCAGACAGACACGCAGTGTGTCTTCCCCCGTGTCAGATCTGTCTCCTGCAGTGCTGTGCTGGGGGCTCACCTCCCAGTCCCCAGCCAAGCTCTGTTGCCCCCCCAGAGGTTGAAACCACTGACATCCCGCTCCTGCTCTGCTCTCTCTCAAAGCTTCCGTGGGTAGTTCCCTGGTTACCAGGACCTTCCGACCCAAACTTAACTCCTGATGTTAACAAAGGGGTTTCCCCGTTAGGCAGAACTCCTGGGAACGGCCGTTTCCTTTTGCCTGTGCAGGTGCTCGCCAGCTCTCAGCGCAGCGAGCTGGGGAGCAGAGTGCGGTGCTCATCTTCCAAGGGGCCAGGCGTCGCTGGGGGCGCTCCTCTCCCCCTTAATCTACCTTGGGATGTTCAGAAGGTATTTGTTTCATTACCTCAAAAAAGCATCTCTGCAGTCAGGGAGTTTCGTCTTGTCGCTGGAGCAGAAGCACGCGGGCGCTGGGACAGCATCGTCGCAGGGTCGGGTGGTGAAGCTGGAGCGGCTGTCGGCTCTGCCGGCGAGGGCTGGCGTTAAAGGTCTCTGGGGTGCGTTCGCCTGCGGAGTTCCCTTGGGTTTTGCCGTGGTGCGGGATCCCGCACGGAGCTGTGCGTCGCGGAGCCTTGCGGGGGGACGTGTTCAGTCTGCATCCTTCGGCTGCGTCAAACAGGGATCTGTCGTGAGGCCCTACCTGTGGGCTGTGACTGCGGTGAACCACCTAAGCGTACGGACTGTGCGTGTCCGAAGGGCCGGCTGCCAGGGAGGGGAGTTTTCTAGCCGCGGGGAAGGGACCGGTTTGGCGTTGCTGGGACTGGGCTTTCTCAGACCTTGCGGTCAGCCGGTTCGGGGCAGCGGTGCTGTTTCCACCTCCGCACCGCCTGGTGCAGGTTCCTGTTCTTCTTCTGCCAGGCGTAGGCCTTGTTTACCACCACCTTGTCGCTCCGCACTTCACCGCTTACCACGAAGACCCCCGCCTGCGTGCCCCTCATGATGTTGTGGGCGCAGGTAGCGTCTATGTCCAGCCACTGCTGGAGCCTGGCGGGGATTTCGGTTCTGAGGAGGGGGCCGTGCTTCAGGACCTCCACCCGGGAGGGGTCCAGCTCGAAGTCGGAGATGGTGGTGGTCGCGTTCTTCCTGAGGATTCGGATTTTCACCGCTGCGGGGGTTGGAAAAAGAGCTGTTGGTTGTGTTTACTTTTCCTAGCTCTTACCTGCTTGAACACACAGCCAGCGCAGGGATTTCTTGCTGTTTTGGGAATGTGGTAGCACATCCATCCAGGTACAGGGGCTTGTAATGGTTTCGTTTCCAGTACTGAATGCCATCCTTCTCCCCCTGCTTTGTTCCCGAGCGTGGCGCGGGCGTATCAGCACCGCTGCATGGGCAGAAACCCCAAGGGAAGCCGGGCCACGAGCAACCGGATGCACCAGAGTCCCGGTCTCCTGCAAATTACTTGGCTGTTCTCCGAGCTGGGGTTTCAGGGCTGCCAGCAGCCCAGGATTTTTAGCAAACTTCTGCTTTTTTCATGAAGGTGTGTGCCTGAATTCACAGCAATACCCTGCAAACTTTCTGCCAGGTAATTTAGCAGAGCTGGTGCTGCGCCAGCGTGGGCTCGGAGAGGGCCAGTGGCGTTACTACAGCAACGGGATGGGAGTTTGAGGTCACTTATCTGGAGTTGGCAACAGGATTTTGTGGGAATCGATTGAAATGTTGGTCTTGGAGGGGGAAAACCAGAGTAGTGCTTGTATTTAGCAGCCACAGACCAAACCCAAAGCAGAGCCCACAGAAATAGAGCAAGTCTCCACCTCCGGTGCTGCCGGGAGCTGGGCCCTTACCTTACCAAACAGGTAAGTTTGGACCCAGAAATCCCTGGGATCTGCTGTAAAAGCTGCAGTTCCCCAGCACAATTTTTGGTGTGTGTCGCTACGCAGGTGCTGGAGGGAACAGCAGCAACCGAGCAGAAGGTGATGATCGTTCCTCCTTATGGCACCTTCCAGTGCTGGGGGGCTACAAGAAAGCTGGGGGGGACCTTTTCCAAGGGTAGGGAGTGACAGGACAATGGGTTACAGGTTTGAACAGGAAGAGGGAGATTGAGATGGGACATCAGGAAGGAATTCTTCCCGCAGAGGGTGGGAGCACTGGGACAGGTTGCCCAGAGAAGCTGCGGATGCCCCATCCCTGGGAGTGTCCAAGGCCAGGCTGGATGAGGCTTGGAGCAACCTGGGCTATGGAAGGTGTCCCTGCCCATGGCAGGGGGTGGGGCTGGGGGGGCTTTCGGGTCCCTACCCAAACCATGCTGTGATTCTGAGACGGGAGTACTCACCAAAATCATTGGCGCAGAGGTTCTCCAGGATCTCCCTGGCAGTGCTGGCCTCCTCAAGCTCGCAGTCCTTGCAGCTGGCTCGCGGCACTGCTGCAACAGAAAGGTGGTTGTGACGCCCTCAGCCAGCTTCTCCGCAGAAGGCGGAATGCAGCGCCGAGGCGTGCGGGGGGC